AGCCTGGGTGACCTGACGGGGCGCGCACAGCACAGGCTTCTCCCAATGCCTGTGGGGCCTGCGCTGAGCACCGCCTGTCCGCCAGCTGCCTCTGCGCCCGCCAGAGGGACAGAGGCCTCGGGTCCGCCTTCCAGGGAACAGTCCCCGGCACAGGCCTCCAAGCCCCGCAGACCAGCCCTGCTCCGGCGGGCGGGGGCGTGTCCGATCTGGGCAGCCTGACCCAGCAGGGCGCCTTCCCACAGCGTCTCCAAGAACTGACCACAAAACGAGCTCCTAAGCAATATAGCGAGGTTACAAGATACAAAGTTGCTACACAAGTCAGTTGCTATGTACCAGCAGTGAACAGCTGGGACTTGAAATAAAAAACAAAGAAGCCTACATGTGGACGCTTATGGCAGCGTCGTTGAGAACTGCCAAAACTTGGAAGGAACCAAGGGGTCCTTCCGCAAGTGATGGAGAGAGAAACTGTGGTCCATAGACAGTGGCGAATTCTTCAGCACAAAAATGAAATGAGCTGTGAGGCCACAAAAGACAAGGAGAAACCAGTGCACGTGACCAAGTGCAAGCAGCCAGTCTGAAAGGGCTACTCTGTCGGATTCCAACTCTGTGATGCTCTGGAAAAGGCAAAACTGGAGACCATAGAACAGCGGTTCTCAACCTGTGGGTCGCGACCCCTTTGGCGGTCGAACGACCCTTTCACAGGGGTCGCCTAAGACCATCCTGCATATCAGATATTTACATGACGATTCATAACAGTAGCAACATGACAGTTACGAAGTAGCAATGGAAATAATGTTATGGTTGGGTCACAACATGAGGAACTGTATTTAAAGGGCCAGAAGGTTGAGAACCACTGCAATAGAACAATCAGGATGGGGGAGGGATGAGTAGGTGGGGCAGAGGATTTGAGGGCAGTGAAACTACTCAGGCACCAGTGGTGGGTACATGGCATCATACATTTGTCCAAACCATAGAACAGAGGCCGCTGATGTAAACCCTGGGCCGGGGGATGCGGCGTTGGTACAGGTTCACCCGTCGGCACAAATGCCCCACCTGGTGGGGGTGTTGCTGGGGAGGCAGTGCCTGTGGGGCTGCAGGGCCTGCATCATGAGACTCTCTGCACCTTCCACTCCGTTTTGCTGGAACCTAAACCTGCTCTGGAAAAAGTCTATTAATAAGAGAGGCTTCGTGTAAAGAAAGGTCAAAAGCATACAAGGAATCGAGGTCGTGCCCCACTACACAGAGCACTGTTTTGTGTGTACTGTTGTTTTTGTAAAACGAATAAACGTAGAATTGCAGTTCCATGTGAGTGTGTGAGTGTGTGTGTGTGTGTGTGTGTGTGAGTGTGAGAGAGAGAGAGGTGACAGCAGGCTGGGTCCCCTGTGGGGCGTCCGTGGGCCTTCGCTGCCCTTCACCTCCAGCTCCAGGCCAAGCGCTCACGTGGGACAACATGGGGGCTCGTCACGATATTTTGTGATGCTGTCAGAGCGGCTGTGGGTTGTCTTTAAGTGGCTGTTAGCAGGCTGTTCCCGGCCCGTGTCTGCACTGAGCCCCCGCCAGCACCGCCGTGACCTCTGTGTTTGATTCCAGACAGGCCGACGGCCGCAAGGTCCTGCGGTCCAGCGTCCGGGAGTTCCTGTGCAGCGAGGCCATGTTCCACCTGGGGGTCCCCACCACGCGCGCCGGCGCCTGTGTCACGTCCGAGTCCACGGTCGTGCGCGATGTGTTCTACGACGGCAACCCCAAGCACGAGCCGTGCGCGGTCGTGTTGCGAATAGCCTCCACCTTCCTCAGGTAACGGCTCCTGTGGGCTGTGTGCGCTCGGTTACGGGCCTAGGATACACGCTCGTGCCCCTCAGATACATTGAGTGTCTGTGCCCTAGCACAGCGGGAGCTGGCTGTCCGTGAAGGAGACCTTTGACCCACAGGCAGAAGGTACCGGGCGTTTTCTGGGTCAGGAGCCCCGTCCTGGGTGTGGACAGTCGTGCCCTCCCAGAGTCCTTGTCCGACACTTGTTGCCGCCAGAAGGGATGGGGTGGCAGAGGCCGTGGCGGCGAGTCCACAAGGCGCCCCAGCATCCGAGAGGGTGCAGGCCCAGGCGGAGGAGGGACTGTCCAAGCAGGTGTCTGGGAAAGGCCACGACAGAGCCGGCTACTCCCTCAGAGTCCGACAGGAGCTGCCTGAAATCCTCCGAGAAAGTGGCCACGTGTCGCGTCACGATGAATAAGGGCTGTTCCCGGCCTGCCATGCCCGCGCCCCTCACACGCGCTCACTCAGCGGACTCCTCTCTGGCTCCATCTCTGATAGGAGCCTGTGTGTCCGTCCAGATGTCACTGTGCTGCCTGGCATCAAACCCAGTGTGCCAGGAGGTGGCTGTGGGGCCGAGCCAACCCTGTATGTGTATGGCCGGGCACCCACGATGGCTCAGCAGTCACCAGGCCCGTCCCCAGAGGGCCCTCTTGTCCTCCGGGGAGAGCAGGAGCCAGGACGGGTTGGCCTCACCCTGCGGGACCCCTCGGTGGCACCACGGGCATAGTGACCCATCACTCGGCTGTAGGGCTGGCCGCTGCTGGCAGTCACCTGTCAGGACAACCACACGCCTCCAGGCATCCTTCACAGCCCAGGGGACGCTGAGCACCCACGGCAGATGTCAGTGACGACACCTCCTGGGTATGGGTGGGCGTGCACGGGGCCTTGTCCTGGTGGAGTTGGGGGTGTCCCGGGCCTCCCGTCACGCCGGCTGTGTGAGCCGTGAGTGTGGCCAGAGTGAGCCTGTTGTGCTCGTACCACTGGTTGGCGGTTCGGACCCAGGTGTCCGCTGTCAGCTGCCATCCGGGGCCAGGCCTCTCTCTCCTTTTCCCCAGGGGACGGGTCATGGTTAACCTGTGGAAACCCGGGCCTCCCTGCAGGTTCGGGTCCTTTGAGATCTTTAAGGCTGAGGATGAGCACACGGGCCGTGCGGGCCCCAGCGTGGGGAGGAACGATATCCGCGTCCAGATGCTGGACTATGTGGTCAGCACGTTCTACCCTGAAATCCAGGCCACGCACGCCAGCGACTCCGTGCAGAGGAACGCTGCCTTCTTCCGTGAGGTGGGTCCCAGAGGTGCCAGGCCTGCCTGCCCTGGGTCAGCCCTCTTGCCCCCAGAAGTGGGCACCGGCCAAGCAGGTGTTTGGGGGCCCGTCCTGCGCTGGTCACGCGAGCCGACTGCCGTGGCACCGTCTCCCTCCCTCAGCTCGCACCTGCCGTGGGCCATCTCTGAGCGCCCGTTGTGCTGCCCAGTCAGTGCTTGGAGTCAGCCTCGGGTGGGTGGCACCTGCCGGCCCGGGTCTGGACACAGGGCGCTGGGGTATCTTGTGGGGCCCCTGCTCTCCCCGTGGCCAGCATGTCCTCAGACGGCGTGGGGTGCTGAGCAGTGGACCTGGGGCATGAGCAGCAGGGCTGGCGGCCGCACAGACCATTTGAGCCTCCCTCCTGGGCAGCCCAAGGGCACGGCGGGCCCAGCACCGGTGCCGGGACCAGGGAGGGTTCTGCCTGACGACGTGGTAACGTCCTGTGTCCACGTGGTCTTCCCGTGGGGCCTGAGCCATCGGGATGTCGGGCTTCCCGACTTTTCGGGTGAAAGTCCAAACCAGCGAGTGTAGAGAAGTGGGTGGTGTGTGTGGGGCTGGAGCCCCCCTGACGTCTCTCAGGTCCTCCCCACGGCCGCGTGCTGGTCGAGATGACAGGGTCTGTGCCAGGGCCCCTCAGGAGCACAGCTCGCCCCCGGGAGGGGAAGACGGGCGGGAAGGGGGCTGGAGGGAGCAACCAGGCCCGTCCTGCCCCAGGTGACACGTCGCACGGCCCGGATGGTGGCTGAGTGGCAGTGTGTCGGCTTCTGCCACGGCGTGCTCAACACGGACAACATGAGCATTGTGGGGCTCACCATCGACTACGGGCCCTTTGGCTTCCTGGACAGGTGGGCACCCCCACAGCGCCCAGTCGCTGGGCGGGGAGGGGCCGGCGGGCCAAGCTGGTCGGTGTTCCCGGCAGTGGAATCCCCTGGAGGGTTTTGAGCTGAGAAAAAGGGTGCCCCCCCGCCCCCGGCCTGTCCTGAAACGGACTGAGGGGCAAGGCCAGGAGCCGGTGGTGAGCAGGAGGCAGGCAGGACTCTGCTTCCGGTCTGGAGGTGGACCCGTCAGGGCTGGTGGCAGGAGAAAGTCGAGGACTCTGCAGGGGCCTGAGCTAAGCCCGTAGGGCCAGGACTCCTGGGGGATGGCGGGGGAGCAGCAGCCACATGGGCAGCACCTTCTCCCCCTGTGGCAGGTACGACCCCGACCACGTCTGCAATGCCTCGGACACTGCCGGGCGCTACTCGTTCAGCAAGCAGCCTGAGGTGTGCAAGTGGAACCTGCAGAAGCTGGCCGAGGCCCTGGTGCCCGAGCTGCCCCTCGAGCAGGGCGAGGCCATCCTGGCCGAGGAGTACGACGCCGAGTTCCACAGGCACTACCTGAGCAAGATGCGCAGGAAGCTGGGCCTCGTGCAGGCTGAGCGGGAGGAGGACGCGGCGCTGGTGGCCAAGCTCCTGGAGACCATGCACCTGACGGGTGAGTGGGCCGGTGCACATGCCGCTGTGGGCTCATGTGCGCTCTGCGGTGAAATACACGTGAGGTGACGCTACCTTTCACTGTTCCTCGGTGTGCACCCTAGGGGCGTTGGGTACGTTCCACTGTGGTGCAGCCAGCCCCACCAGCCGTGTCCAGAACTGTCCGTCTTCCCCACTGAAACTGACTCCCCGTGACCCGCGGGCACCACCGTCCTGCTCGCTGTCCCTGTGACCACGACCCTGCGGGCCTCAGACGTGGAATCCCACAGCCCCGTGTGTCTGGCTGACATGGCGAGCACCAGGTCCTACAGGCCCCGTGCTGACCAAGGTGGAGGCCGCTGCGCTGTGCGGACGGCCTGCTGTGCTCAGCACCACCCGCCCATGCTGCAGGCTGGCTGGCCCTTTCGCTGCTGTGAAAACAGCCCTCAGTTCCACACTGGGTCCTGCACTCAGCAGGGGGCCCGGCGTATGGACTGGCCCGGGGCTCCGGCTGGCGGGAGGGGAAGCGTCCTGTCCACACCACAGAGCAGGCGGGACTGTCTCCTCATGCGTTTCCAGTTTCGGTGCTTCTACCATTTTGCGTCAGTTGAGACGACCACGTGGCTGTACGCCTTCATTCATACCCTTAGTCCGTGTCAACTAGAACGAACTGCCACCAACGGGCCTCAGCCCATAGCCATGTGTCTCCGTTCTGGAGGCTGGAGGCCAAGATGGAGGTGCCAGTGTGGGGAGTTATTGGTGAGGCCGCTGCTCACTCACAGATGCTGCCTCCACACTGGGTCTTCATGGGCAGAGCAGGGAGGGTGGAGCTTTGTGTCTCTTCTCACAAGGACAAGAGTCCCCCCAGGAAGTCCCAGCCTCATGACCTGACTGCCCCCCAAAGACCAGCCCCCGGACCCTCACACTGGGATGGAGGTCGCAGCCCCGTGCGCTCCTGGGACACACCCTGCTGGTCATGGTGCCTGGCCCTCCGAATAGATGGACTTCGCTAGTGTCCTGGCACATTGGCCTGTCGCTTTCTTTCCTTGCAGTATCTGTGGCTTTGGTGTCAGGGCAGTGCCAGCCTCACAGAGTAAATCAGGAAGAGTTCCCTGTTTTTCAGAAGAGTTTGAGAAGGATTGGTGATAATTCTTTAAATATATTTTTTATTGATTTCAGAGAGGAAGGGAGAGGGAGAGCAACGTCAATGATGAGAATCATTGATCGGCTGCCTCCTGCACCCCGACTGGGGATCGAGCCGCAACGTGGGCATGTGCCCTGACCGGAATCAAACCCGGGACCCTTCAGTCCGCAGGCTGACTCTGTCCACTGAGCCACACCGGCCTGAGTGGTGGTCGACAGAACTCACCAGTGAAGGGTCAGGTCCGGGGCTTTTCTTTGTCGGGAAGTGTTAGATCAGGAATTCGGTACGTCTCCTTACGAGTTACAGAACTATAGGTTTTGTTTCTTCTTGAGTCAGTTGTAATCTGTGTTTCTAGGAACTTGCCCAGTTTCACCAGAGTCGTCTCATTTCCTGGCGTGTAATTACTCACTGTAACCTCTTGGTCTTCGGGCTCTGATTTCAGCTATTTGTATCTTCTCTTTGTCAGTGTAGTTAAGTTTATCGATTTGTTGATCTTTTCAGTTTGTTTCATTTATCTCTGCTGTAATCTTTAGTTCCTTTCCTTCTGCTTACTGATCTTGCTTTGTTCGTTTTCTAGTTTGTTAGGTATGATATCAGGTGATTGATTTGAGGTCTTTTTTAATTGATGTGATTGACACATGACATGTTCACTCAGGTGCACGCCACCATTTGATACTTGTGTATACGCAACATGATCACGGTGAGTCTAGGGAACACATAGCTACAAACTGTTTTTGTGATGAGAGATCTTTTAAAGTCGGCATCCATGGTGTGCTCCCGTGTCTTCCTGCGGATTTCATCATTTCCCCCGTGATTTCTTTGTTGGGCCCTTGGGTTATGCTGGTTTCAACATTATTTGTGAATTTTCCATTTTCTTCCTGTTTGTGATTTGTGACTTCATTCCACTGTGGCTGGCGGAGATACCAGCAGCCCTTCTCATTGGACTAGAACCTGTGTGGTGGCCCACCATGGTCTGTTGGGGAGCGTGTGGCTCCCACGGGCAGTGCTGTGGTCCGGTGTTTACTGGCGTGTGGGGTCTGATCCTTGAACGTCCGTCTGGACACCACACCCATTGCTGGACGTGGACATGACTGTTGTTTCTCCCTTCAGTTCCGCGGGCGTTCGCCTTGCACATCAGGAGCTCCCACTAGGTGTGCGTGTGGTCCCGTGGAGGGGCATGTCCACGTCCGAGCACATCATACAGCTCCTCCCAAACCCGATGGTGTCTGACGTCAGGGCCACCAGCTTCTAGGTTATCTGCACAGGACACGTTTCCCAACCTTTCGCTCTCAGAGATGGTGGTGTAGTTGGATCTTTTTTTACGCCAACCTAATCCCTGCTTGTTGACTGGAGTTTAACTCATTTACTTAGTGATTCCTGAGAAAGAAGCGCTTCTGCCAATTGGCTATTTGTTGTCTGTGTCTGACACCATTTGCCCTCATTTTCTCCTTGCTGCTTGTGTTTTGTTGATTCTTTGGTAACACACTGAATTCATTGCCTTGTTTCCTTTGTGGTTTTGGAGGTTTTTTATTTTTATTGATTTCAGAGAGGAAAGGAGAGGGAGATAGAAACATCCATGATGAAAGAGTCATGGATCAGCTGCCTCCTGCAAGTCCCCCACTGGGGATCAAGCCCACAACCAGGGATGTGCCCTTGATCAGAATCGAAGCCAGGACCTTTCAATTTGCAAGCCAGCGCTCTATCCACTGAGCCAAACCAGCTAGGGCTAGAGGTTTTCTTAGGAGTTACGATGACTGTGTTCTGACAGGTCAGACCGAGGACGGATGACATCTGTCCTGCTGAGCCCTCTGCTGGGCATGTGTTGGGGGCTTGGGGACACTGCAGCTCCTGAGGCCAGGAGCCGACCCCAGTGCCTTTGCTGATTGTACCCATTTTACAGATGAAGAAACTGGGGCTGGGGACCTTGAGGACTTGTCAGGTCAAGTAGTGGCTGAGGAACAGCTGGGCCTGACAACGCAGTGCGGCGCCCACCGTAGGATGGAGTGTGGGTCAGCCTGTCGTAGGTAATACTGCAGGAGGGCAGCAGAGCCTGGCCCTCAAAGTGCAAAAATAGTTCTTTCCCAAGTGCTTCTATTTCTCATAGCTTATCGAATGCATGTAGTAGCCATCACGAACACCTTCTACCTGCTGAGCTCCTTCCCAGTGGGGCCCGAGGCTCCGGGCCTGGCGGGGTTCCTGACTGCGCTGACGGAGCAGTGCGCCTCCCTGGAGGAGCTGCGGCTTGCCTTTCGGCCCCAGATGGACCCCCGGTGGGTGCTCAGGTCCTGCTTCCTTGGAATTTGTTTCCAGAAAAGGAGAGACGTTTAGAACAGAACGTGTGAGGGGCTGCACACCGGGGGTCCTAACATAGTTGGCTGGACACCTGGGGCCTGGGCAGCTGCTCCCTTCCCAGGAACGAGTGGTGGTCAGAGGAAAGGACAGTGATGCTGACACTGGTGGGGAGGCCCAGGGCCTGGGCTGGTGGTCTCTGCTCTTGGTGGCCCTCAGGCTTCCACTGGGCCCTACTTTCTGCACCATCTCCCATTGGGAAGAGCACACACGCCCCTGGGGTGCAACCCATACTCAGGGCAAGACACGGGAGGCGTGGTTGTGCACTTTAATAAACAAGCCTGCGGGCTGACCAGAGAGGAATTTAATGCAGCAGTGTGGGGCCTCGGGACCCAGGGTGGACTGGCTGGCAGGACCTGTCTCTGACTGCAGTGAACTTCTCCCAGAAGTCAGTGCCCTGCCCACCCCAGGGTCCACTGAGTAGGCATCTCCTTGGTGCAGCTGTGCCCATCACAGGGAGGGGCTGCTGAACGAGGGTGGCCAGCTGGCAGGTGCCCGTATCGACCTCACCCATGGGGCCTGGGCTCCCCTCAGCCAGGCTGTAGGGGGTGCAGAAGGGCAGGTGAGGCCGTCCCTCCTCTGGGACAGTCGTCAGGGGGTGCAGCAGTCCCAGGCTACGGTCCACAGCCAGGTGGGGCGCTGCAGCTCCTGGACACACTCAGAGCCGCTCCCCACCCCAGGCAGCTCTCCATGATGCTGATGCTGGCGCAGTCAAACCCGCAGCTCTTCGCGCTCATCGGCACCCGGGCCAACGTCACGAAGGAGCTGGAGCGCGTGGAGCAGCAGGCGCGGCTGGAGCAGCTGAGCCCGGCCGAGCTGCTGAGCAGGAACAGGGGCCGCTGGGCCGACTGGCTGCAGGAGTTCAGGTGAGTCCAGCCTCCCGTGCAGGTCGGCAGAGCGCTGGGCCGTGGCACCGTCTCTGGGAACCCGATGGAGGGGGAGGGGAGCTGCAGCTGCTGCCAAGGGGCTTGTGGTTCTAGGACCAGGCTGGAGCAGGACAGGGAGGGCGCCGCCGACAAGGACGCCTGGCAGGCTGAGCGCGTGCGTGTCATGCACGCCAACAACCCCAAGTATGTCCTGCGGAACTACATCGCGCAGAACGCCATCGAGGCTGCCGAGAACGGAGACTTCTCAGAGGCAAGGACCCACCAGTCCCTCCTCTTCCCTGGGTCCTGCAGCAGGGGCTGGGCCAGGGAGGAAGGGGTCCCCAATAACCTCCCCTTGCTCCTCTCCAGGTGCGGCGGGTGCTGAAGCTGCTGGAGGCCCCGTACCACAGGGAGGGGGAGGCCACTGAGGTCCTGGAGGCCACGGAGCCTGAGGGGGCCGGCAGCACAGCAGAGAGGCGCCTCTCCTACAGCAGCAAGCCCCCGCTCTGGGCAGCCGAGCTGTGTGTGACGTGATCCTCGTAACCGCCTTGGAGGCCGGGAGGCCCCCAAGGCCCCAAGTGACACTGAGTCCATGAGGCGGCGCCTGCCAGCGAGCAGCCCCCTCCCCGTCTCTCCATGACGACAGGGACGTCCAGTCAGGACCTGACCCGTCTCTGTCTGACACCGACTCAGCAGCCCAGCCCAGCCCACCAGCAGCAGCAACAGGCTCCCCATGAAACGCTGCTTCACGCAAGGACAGCTCAGCAGAGGGACCGGACCCAGGAGGACACAGCAGCCACAACCCCCATGGCAGCCTGGGAGGACCGGCGCTGCTGGCTCCTGCTTCTGGGAGCCGCCCCTAATAAACGAGCAGCTCCCAAGGCCCATCTGTGTGTGGTCGTTCTACCCCAGCCCAACCTGGGACCCGCCCGAGGCACCTTCACACGCCTGCACCAGGCGGCAGCTCAGGCGTCCTGGTAGTAGCTGTTGAAGTTGATGCGCAGCAGGAAGTCCTCCAGGTGGGGCTGGTAGCCTCGGTTCACCAGCTTGGTCACCACTGTGGGAGGAGCAGCGAGGGGGCG